TAATCCACTCTGCGATGATCGATTGCCCACAGAGATATGGGAAAGGTGAGAAAATGGGCACTACCTGTGTATTGATTGTTTTTGGTGGGGACACCATAAAAAGAGACATAGCACCTGTTAAGATGTCAAATACAGGCTTGAGCTCTATAAACCTAATCTAACCAGGTTACTGAGCGGAGAAAACTTTCCTCTTTATACACTGTGTTAGGAGAAGGAGGGAATCTGATGATGTGTGCGACGGAGGAGTTTTCTTGATCTGACGTGGAGTCAAATGCTCAAAGGGGAAATGCAGCTTTCAACCAAACTCATTAAAGAAGTTTTAGGGTCTCCGAGAATAAACATCAGATCAAATACTTCAAAATGAACAAGTGCGTTGAACCATTTCACTGATATCTCCAATCTGCCTTTTCAAGAAATCTCTGTCTGACTGTATGTCTGTGTGGAGAACTGAAATATATATGTGTCACATGTGTTGTTAAGCACTCGAGGATGTGCGCAATCTAATTTCGTGCAAATTGCACATGTGATACATTCGATATGAATACAATTTTAATAAACGGCGCCTCGTCGTCTTTGCAGTAGAAGGGGAAACTACATCTGATTCCTCAGTTCAGAGTCTGTGAATCTTTGACTCAACGTCTCTTTGTGAAGTTTCAAGCAAACGACCTGTGGTAAAACAAAGATTACTCCAAACACTTCTCCACGAAACCAATGAACCAAAAAAAAAGAAAACATTTTTGATGTGGGCTGAATTATTTCGTCTTTTCAAACCACATCACAAACCCGGTGGGGCTTCTCATCCAGCTCCTCGTTTTGAATACTCCGTCGACCATTCATGGATGTGACATCACACATTATTAAGGGTCAGGATGAACTTGTCTCTCGCACCGTCTGACTCACACACATTATTCACTAATCCTGAAGAAATCGTCCAAAGTATCATCACAGGTTTTCAAAGATGCAAATCAGACGCGCCTGCTGTTAAAGGTTCAAGTGGACGACACGTCTCTAGATTCTGTATCGGGTGCGTTACATCCTCAAGGACGGCCGGTGCCAAAGAAGAAACCTTTGGAACTTCCTGTGAAATATATGTAGAGTAGCCTCTCTGTGTAAGGTGGGGAGATAAGATCACAAATAATTGAAGGGGCCCATCACGACAGCGCCGGAGACAGAGGGCCATCCATCTCCGAGGCTGTACAAAAGAGATATTGCTATAATAACTCAAGGATTACCAGTATGACAGAGTAGAGTTCCTTCATCTCCTCACACGTCTTGGTCAGCGCAGCGAGAGCCGAGTCGTACGTCTCAATAGCTGTCTGGGTTGTGAGAGAAAAGCACAAGGAGCTCCAGTTGAGTTTGTCCGTTAATTCATTCATACGTTCATTGAAGTCGATCATTCACCTCCGAGGCGTCACCCACATTCAGAGCTGGAAATCATACCGAGTTTCAAAGTGAAAGGTTCAGAGTAGACACAGATGCAATGTAGAGTACTTGTATTACTTGTATTGTAGTATTGTCACAAAATCCAAGAGTAAATATATATATATATATATATATATATATATATGTAAATATATATATATGTAAGTATTTATATCAATCAATTACATTTTGAATCCAGGACTTTAAATGCTCTTTCAGGCTCGATGTTAGAAACATATACGTGTCTTCTGAAAGCAACAGATGAAATGTAGCAGTACCACAGGAAATCATCGGGGGGCAGTGTAGCCAATAGTTCAAGGAAGACGACCATTACACACAAGGACGACATTTCAACAATGGCTGAACTTTTTAAGGAGAGACTTTATGAGTTGGTGTCTATAAAATTTTGCTTCTTTCTCCATCGATCCTATGTTTTCAGAAACTTTGTGCTGCCCTCTAGTGGATGTATTGCTCAACAACCATGTTAATATATATATATAGGGAAGTGGCGGGTTACATCGTTTGAAACTGATTAATCTCTTTTCATACATGAAGTCAGCATAAATGAGTCTTAACGCTGTTACTGTGACGTTTACTTACTAACAAGATGTTGGATGTCGAATTGGCTCATCAGAGTAAAATTGGCCTTTCAGACATTTCTAACATTAGTCAGCTTGTGCTGGTGGTAAATAACGAGGTGAACCAATACGAGACGAGCAGAAGAAGGTTGTTAACGGTTAGTTTGGTTTCCGAGATGCTGAACATAGTGAATACAATGATTGTTTATCGAACCTTCACATTAATAAACGTGAGGTCTGCTACATCACCTTCAGGTCTTTGGCGAAGTTTGGCTGATGAGCTCCAGCATTTGTCTTCTTGGAAGTTTTTCTGTACTGGATGAGTTTCTGCAGTTCGTTCTTCAGGACTGAGGCAACACACACACACACACACACACACACACACACCTTGGTAACCATCCATCATATTTGACCACTGAAGCAGAAAGTTGCTTCAAATCAGATGCTGTCTCCTGTGCGATAAAGTGAAGTGTTGCATTTGTGCTAGCGGCAACTGTGAGTCATCACACAGACAATATATTGGATTGAGCCTGTATATCCCCTAGACAATGAGATTATGGGGTTTCCAAAGTATATATATATATATATATATGCAGAAACTACAATTACAGACAGATCTAGTAAATGTTAGCGTCACACTTCCTCACAAACAACTTACGTTGGCACAAAAGCGGTGAGTCATACTTATGACAATTTCAGCAATTTTAAGAAAAACAGTCTTTAAGCACAGTAGTAAAATTTGATCTACTCACCATCTACTTCTGCGGTCAGGCCTTTGATGGACGCTTTCCCAAAACAGAGGGAGGAAAAAAGTGGGACACACACAGAAAATACACATTTCAGACCCTTAATTTAGGAGAACCGTGCAGCTTTGATCAAATCTCGATTAGCGAATACCTCCAGGGACAGTTTCAAATTCTGCCAAGTCTTGGGTAAAAGTGGCCAGTCCCGGTTCATGCAACATGATCTGCTCCACAAGGGCATGGAGCAAGGTGAACGTCTTGTCTCTCCCGCGGAGCTGGGAGAGCTGGGGGATAGACAGAAAAAACATGGAGTGGGGAAAAAAGGGCACGGTGCATTCCCGGAGACCCGAACACAAGGACGAGAGAAGAAAAGAAGACGTGTTGTATGTCCTCACACGTGTGTGCAGCTTCCTTACTGAAGGTCAGGGGAAAGTTTTACAACAGTTTCTATGTTTGAACCTTTTCTCATAAAAACTCATAGTCGAGAGAGAAGCACCAACACTAACTGTAGCTGCAGTATCTTTCATTTTCTTCTATTACGCTATGTTTGTTCAAAATGGTAATGATGACTCAAGCTATATTGCACTTGATGGTGCCATTTAATTGAAATGCAAGAGGGGCCTCTCTAATCCTCTGATAGGCACTCATAGTCTTTTTCTAGGTTATGTTGTTTACCAATTTCAGGCTCAGACAAGCCTCGGAGGGCTACGTTCACAAGACCAGACCAAATATTGATGGGGAAAAAAATGAAAAAACAAGAACCTCTCAAGAAAAATATCTGAGATAACCTCGATGCGTTCCTCTTGGAGGCAGTCAACCTTTAATTTGACGAGAGCGCGTCTCAAGCAGCATCAGTTTACACTTCTCAATTAGACCTGGAAACATCTCTGAGGGAACGCGAGGCCTCGGCTTCATTAGACGGAGAAAAGGATGTTTTACTTCGGCGCCAAGTGCCGAGAGCGCTGCCCCTTAAACCTTCCCAGTAGAGAGTGAGGAGTGGTTCGAACTAAATTCAGAGGAAGGAAGAAAATACTCTCACAAGGAGAACAGAAGAAAAAATACACCTTAAATCTCAAAGGAACCATTTTTTGGGAAGGTACTTATTTGCCACAGGGCATGTGAAGTCTGACAGCTTGTTACAAGCCTTTACTGTTTACTGTTAGCCATATTAACGCTTTGTCATTAGCTACAGTTAAGCTTTATTGCAGCTATACTTACGCTTATTTGCTAATCATAATTACACTTTACTGTTAGCCATAGTTATGCTTTGTTGTTAATTGTAGTTACACTTTGTTGGGAGACATAATGAAACTTTTCCATAGTTAAAGTTTTTCGTTAGCTATATTTTTACTTTGTTGTTAGCCATAGTTTTGCTTTATTATTAGCCGTAGATACGCAGATGGGACAAACTGAAAGATGGTTCCTGTCATTTTAGGTCACTCTCTTACATGAACACTGGAACAGATGTGTTCGAGCTCCAGACTTTATGCTAAGCGACTATTTGCCTTAATGACAAGATCCACAGTGAGCGAGTGGCTGCAGCTAATGATGGTTAACAACTGATGGTTGTCTCATGTCTCCCGTGAAGACAGGCGGAGATACAGTCACTCAACTGTCGTGATGATTGTGTCAAAGACCTGAGTGAGGCCGGTGTGATCGGAACATGGAGGGTGAGGCAGAAAATTGAAAGAAGATGCACAGACGCCCTGCAGTGTATATCAATGAGTCGTCTTATTAGCCTGGTGCTGCAACTCAATCAAAGGTCAGGCAACGGCGGCAGAGTCGTACTTTAGTTAAGGAGGCGAGGCGGAATCCCTTGGCCTTTTCCTTTCCGGCGTTCTCGTTGAGGTAATTGCCAATGGCGAGGATGTACTCCAGCACGGACACAAATGACCTGCTGTGGCACAGCTGCATGCACATTCTGATCTTCTGGTTAATCAGCTGGAAGACAAACACAGAGGCACAGAGCAAAGTCATTTCATTCTGCGATCCAACCGCACATGAGCCCCACGCATTCATCTTCGACTAATCCACCACGCTGCCGCCCGGCTTATCGCTGGTTCTAAAAGGTGGCCCCGCGTCACCCCTGCGCTCGCCTCCGTACACGAGGCTCCCTGTTTAAATTTTATATTGATTTTTTAATTCTATTGCTCACTTTTAAGGCCTTGAATGGCACTGAACACAAATATCTTTCAGATTTATTGAACTGGTGAGTGCCAACACAACCACTGAGATTTACAGAGGGGGCTGTGCTGGTTACTCGGAGGCCACAACTCATAACAAATGTTGAATGAGCTTTTTCTATTAGAGCCCTTACTTTATGAAACTCAAGTCTCCAGCTCCTTTTAAATTCCTTCTTAAAAGTTTAACGCTACTAATTAGTGTCTCAGACAAGGAGGTAACTTTTTTAATTGGTGAGGGGTTTTTTCGTAGCTCTGGATCAGGGGGCAGATCCAGGAATGTATTTTTGTCACTTTCTTTAAGATGATGATTGCGATGGGAAAAGAAACCAGGCATATTTTGGGGAATGATTTATATCAGTGTGAGCAATTTGGTGCAGTTTTATTGAATTTCTCTGGACGGATGTAAACACCAGGTCTGAACAGAGTCTCTCTCACAAACAATACCTGAAGTGAACGGACGTCCTGTGATCAGATCACCTGAGACGCATGTCGGAGTCAGATGTGAATAAAGCCGTTATGAAATCTAAGTGGAGCGAGTCTGTTTTTTAAGTCTCTGTAAAAAAAAACTAAAAAAAAAACTGCAGGCTTCAGTATTTTACATGAGAGAGGTAAACAGCCGCCGCACAGCACCTCATTTAACCTCATCAAATGAATAATCAGGGCCGTGTTGTTTGGCTGGATTAGTATTTGGTATGCAATTGTGTCAAGAACAAATATCCCTCCAGAATATCGCACACTTTCCCTCCTCAACACGCTCGGAACAGATCCTGTTGAATATGGATGGAGTCGTATTGGAAACCTGAATAGCAATGAAAGTGGGGTTTTTTTCAGTTTTTGCCAGCGCTGTGTTGGAGGTAAAACGAGTCGATGCTGTGGGAATCATAGTCCTTGAAAAAGATTTAGCAATTCCAAGCCAGCTCTCTGCCAACCAACAGCATCACTCCCACCGTATGCTCCAGTTTTAAGAATAACTTCCCAAAAACCTTCCAGTGGGACGGAGCGGATTACACAGAACAGACAGGAGATCTCCGGCTTGTTTGAACTGGCTCTGCACCGGACCATCTGCACCATCATGACAAACCGTTGAACAACAGTATGAAAGATTATCGCATCACGGCGTCATGAAACAACATGTGCTTTGGTGTAGGTGGAAGTCCCCAAAAGAACCTCGATTGTTACTAAGAAAACTTGATGATGTACGTTGTTTTCCAAACTTTAACGTTACATCTCTGTGTTCGTTGTTCAGCTATAAAACATGATGTTAAAACTACTTTCTGATAAATCATCTTAAGTTTCAGACCATGTATGTAAATGTAAATTAAAATACGATGTGATGATGATAAAACTGTGTATAAGGTAGTTCACATCAGTTTACACACTAATGATTCAGTATATTGTGATTTATCAGTACGAGTGACCACACCACTACTCGAGTACTTTAACTACTACTTAACTTTTGTAGTATTTTCATATATCTGTATTCCTCAGGTATAGGGTCTGAATATTCTTCCAGCAGCTGATCGTGTCCAAGTTGAATATTGGGTCATTTGAGCCTTGAGTTAAAACATGGGACGAGATGTTGGACAGTTTAGTTGGAGGAAGCTTTATTTCCACACGAGGATTGTTGTGCTCTAATTAACTAATTTCTCTCTCCGTCACACACACACCTCCCTCGTTTGTGACGGCTTCATGCCAGACGATTGTGGGATGCTCTTCGCTGGATGTTGTGAAGTCAAAACAAACCAGTCCGTCCTCATCCTCTCGGGTCTTTGTCAGTTAAAACCAAAGTATACCGTTTAAAATCACATTCGGTAAACGCAGAAACATATGTTTGGTTTAAATTCCCCACCGGTGGTAATGCTGGGTTCTTGGGATGTGGCTATTTCCAGCTATGGCACCTGTTTCTGTTTGTTTTTACTGTTTCATTCCTAGTTCTCCTACATTTGTTCCTGACTGGGAAAATTCCCGTAAACACTCAGCTTTATATTAAACCTGTAATTTCATGCACTCTTGCAAAGTGCACGTCTATCTCTCGTACTTTTTGCTCCAATGCAGACGTTTTAAATCATTTACATATTAATTATCCTTTTTTCTTTCCTCGTCCTTACGATGCAAACATTGGAGAGAGGCGTCACCGTGTTGTTTAAACACATAAACACAATTCATGTTGTCAACAGAGTCCATGTTTTGTCCACAGTCCGACTTCACAGCACAAATGCAGTGAACTTGAATCAACAACTTCGAGCACACGGACGCAAAGTTAAGTAAACTCGCTCAACCAACTGCTGTTTTTAAAGATGTGTTTTACACCACTGCTCTGCCACAACCTTGTTTTGCCTCCTGGTTTGGTTCCAGACTGGTTTCTGTGACTGTTCACCTGCATCCTGAAACCATTGTTTTTATTCATCTGCCAGAATCATTCGCTCTCAGCGGTTCTCCTGTCACGCTCAGCCACCCTGGAATCAAACGCCCTGATCCCAGCCCCGCACTCTGGACTGCCCCTTGTTCCCCATTCAAATGAGTTTGACAGCTTGGAAGATGGGCCCCAACAGGTCCACGGGACAGTTTCGCTCTGCAGCTCCCGATCTGTATTTGATTCACGCTGTTGTTGACTAATTCTTATCTGAAGACATTGATTAAAATCCCTCATGCAACTACAGCCAGACAAATTGTGCTTCATGAAGAAATAGATCACATTTCAATGGCTTAACTTCTGTTTTACTGTGACTTTTATTGGAGGTGCTATTAACAAAACCGCTGAAGCATCCACATTTTATTTTCTACATCGAGGCTTCAGGGGACATCTCCGTGTCCATGTCTCTTCCTGTCCCCTGCATCACTGGCTCTGGTTCTGTGTCTTTGACTCTCTTATTTATATTTGGAAAACAGGTTCAGACAGCACTCGGCTGAGAGAAGGAGCCAGGTCCGCAGTGCAAACTGAAAATCTGTCAAACCAAACAAGGACGCAGGAGCTGACAGACAATCCCCAGGTGGTGACGTTTCAGGTATTTGGTTTCATATTTTCTTTATAAGTAAGATCCACTTGCCAGATTTTACGGTGTGAGACAGTGACACTCTAAACTGTGGATTATAGATAAAGAGCCACATACTCACAGAAAACCACACACACACAAATCTGATCTAATAAACCCGAGGCTACAGACGGACGGACGTCAGGACGAAACCGCAGAGAGCAAATTGAAACTTAATGAAATTGCTAATCTTTCTTGTCGAGTCACAGAATGTTTGTCTCTGTGTTTTATAGACAAAGAAAAATGACTGTCAGAGTCAATGGATTCCAGCGTCATCACTCTTATCCCGTGTTTCTCCTCATTCTCCGACAGCAGACAAGAGATTATAGGACCGAAGCACTGACGCTGAAAGAAACAGAAAGCCTGAGAGAATCAAATAAAAAAAATGGCAGAGGAGCTGGGAGGGTTTTCTTTGTCTGGCTGCAATATCTTCACACCCTGCAGTCCAGCACACTACAATCCTGTGAGAGTTAACAATTAGTCTGAGTAATGATGAAGCTGAATACATCTGGCGCTTTGTGTGCGTGTGTGTGTTTGCAAAATGCTAAACAAACTAAAGAAAATGTGCATTTTAAATCTGTCTGACTTTCCTCCCTCCTTACTTTACCTTTATTAATTTTCTGTCTTTGAAGAGAGTCCACAACTTCTGCAGAATGAAGTTAAATTCCCCCTCAGCTCTCCCAGAGTGGCTTTTTATTGGGTTTCTGATGAAGATAATAACTATGCGTGTTTTACACCGTGCATGGAAAAATGGAACTTGATTTGATTAAGATTCATTTCTTTCTTCTCTCCATCAAATAAAGACGAGGTGTGTGAAAGTGGCTGTCAAACCTTTCTGCTTTCAACGCACTTAACCAACCGACAAATAGAAAAGAAACGACTTCACTCAGCACTTCAGACAGAAATATTCAAACTGACGGGGGAAGAAGCCTTCGTGTATTAAAGCCAGTTTGTCCATAGATGTTCTTTTCATTTACGTCTCTCTGAACATTAGTGTTTGCATTACGGAATAAATTGACACGCTCGTGTTTTACACTTTCTCAGCGTTGAGGGAAAGGACCAGACTCTAAAACACCTGCTTGAAAGCTTTGAGGAGGTGGAGGAGTGAACTCACGGGCTGCAGGTCGCTCATGCTGATCGGGAGCTCCCTCAGAGTCAGCAGCAGGTCCAGCTGTTTGCTCAGGTAGGGGATGTTGCACATCTGCAACAGGACGAAAGATGTGCGGGTTAGAAGCTGAGTGCATACGTCGCAACAAGCTTTCCCATGTGATGATTCAGGATTATCTGGATAAAGCAGAGCGGCTGGACGGCTGCGGCTCGTTCTCACAGACTCCAGCTCTTTGGCGAGATTACCTGAGGTGAGAGTGAAGTGCCGCCGGCCTGTCGACAGGCTGATTTAACAGAGAAACTTAAGGCTTGACACCTCGAAACGATTGGCTGAGCTGCCTAGTCGACCTTTGTGTCGGCGCTAACCTCTAATAAATCACTCCGCGTTGTCAGACCGTCTCGTTCCTGCACAGGTATCATCGCCCAGAGGCCAAAGGGCACTCGGTCTGATGGAGAGTTAGAGGAAGATGTTGGCATGTGTGTTAGTTATACAGACCATGTAATAAAAAAGTATAAAATGATTCTCGTCCTCCAGCGCCATGCTACTGATCCTGTCACCTTTCCTGACACTTTTTAAAATGTCTCATGAGAGGTTAACAGATTCCACACCAAGGTAACACTTATAATTACATTTCTCCTGGGATTAAACTGTGCTCACACGTCTGAGTTTAAATTCGTCACGTTCTCATGTATTTTGCCTTTTCTCGGACTGACGAGCAGAAACTCTCCCGTTCTCCAAAGTTGAGCCGTACGAGGGAATGCTCTTATTAGATTTCTGCAATGGCAAAGAATTTAATTTCCCAGTGACCTGGTGATCGACAGTATTCAAGAACTTTCAAGGCTTCGCGAACGGACGAGGCTGAAAGTGAGGACATGTTTTTAAAACCTTGTTTTTCTTGCGTACCTGCAGGTCCACAGAATGAAAAGAGAAGAGTTGAGTTAGTGTTTTGTGTTTTTTTAAACGAAGGTCTTTTATTATGGCCAAAACCAAATTGTGGTGATGAATCAGCGAAGTGAAGTGTTTTCTCCAGTCAGTTGCTTCTGACTGAAGGGAAACAAGACAAACAGCCATGCTAGCAGCTCTATGAAGATGCAATTAGCAACAGCAGTGCTTGAAGCTAAATGCTAACGTCAGAATACTAAAAAAGAGAATATAGAAATGCCGATTTTTAGTGGGGATGGTGTTTAACTTGTCCGCCATCTTGTGTTATCATGCAATTACTAGAACCTGTAATCCTGATCCCATATTGCGATGTGGTGAACTGTACCTCCATCATGTACTGGTCCACGATGTGCAGCTCCGCCACAGGCCCCTTGTGGGACTTGTACATCTCCACGTCATCCATTGTGGGGACGTACCTTGAACATGAAAACAAACAATCACTGCTCTTGAGGGACGGAGACACTCTTATCGAAGGTCATGGGCTCCTACGTCAAAACTCCATTTTCTGTCAAAGAGAGTAGTTGTGTTTTTCTCCACATGAGAAATCCAGATATCTTTTTTTCCTCTCGCTGTGTTGTTGTGGCCGTTTTGAAGCTGGTGACAGCTTGTCGGATAGTTTGATCCCTGTCAATCAAATCTGATCAAAGCAAAGCCGAGAGCAGGAGAGGAGCAGCAGCAGAGTTTGAGTGTTTAACATTTAGAGAAATATTAGATTTGTTAATGTTTTAAACATCGCGTTCCTCCGTATGTGTTTGTGAAGAAAACTATAACTGTGAAGTTTTTAAAGAATTGACACTTGTAAAGACGAGAGGAGCTCCAGCGATATCACACCTTCGACAGGAGTGAACACGATGGAGATGTAAATGTATGACTTCCTCTAACAAGCTGCTTCACGTGGAGTTACAGATTTGATTTCTAAATCATCAACACATCGGGTGTTAACATTTACCGGTCAATGAATAAATATCTCCTTCACATCTGATGGAGACGTAATGTTGGTGGTGTGCGAATTACAGAGTCTCACACCTCAACCTCTGTGAAAACCTCACAATTACATTTCAATAATGAATCATATAGTCTAATTAATAAAAGTATTTCTTTAAATACATGTGTCCATGTGCAACATGTGGTGTATTATTTATGATCAATTCTATACATTGATTATTAAATAGAAAATAAAAACATAGACTAACTGGTTTTATTTTAAAGATTAATTTGAGGTTGAAGATGTTTCCTCCTTTTCCCATCTTAGTTATCACTTGTATTTTTTTGTCTCTCTGCCTTGGACTGAAGCCATGACATTGATTTCCTGTAGCCTGGAGGAAGGCAGGTGATTAAAAGCCAAGTACTGCTGATGGCCCTCGTCAGCCTCTACAACGCTGCGAGACGCTGAGGGGAACAGACTTTTACTCACTCGCACTGACTCTGAACGCCGTCTTCCTAAACCGGACCTGCTCCTCCTGTCATTTCCGTGCGTCCTGACCTCAAACCAAAGGCGTTCACTTTTTCATGAACCAGGCAATGGGCCACCAGAGAACCACCGCTCATTAATATTGCAGCATCTGTTGGGAGTGGGGCTTTCTAGATTGTATTCCTCAGGCTTACGCCACGGCACATTAAAATATATATTACGTTTTCATGGAATAAATAAAAATCCTCCACGCGGTACATTAGATCACTGCGGCCTTCCAGGAGGTCAGCGTCGACGGCCACTGAGAAAACCGAACGAATGGAAGAGCGTTTTAGTTAAATTCCCGAGGGCGCGTCAATAGATTCCATCTCCACGAATAACCAGATATACAATTTTTATTAGTGAGCTGCTCTGGTAAAAGGTTCCGGCATCTACTCTTTAGTATAAGAACACAGTGAGAACCGCTTTCCTCCGTTTAACTTGGCCCTGACTTTACCGAGCACTCAACATCTCTCGTGGATGATTTGCTAAGCTGCCGGTTTCCAAAGGATCTGTCCCGGCAGCCTCCCACGGACTCGGGCACACGAGGTTGTTCGCCCCTCAGGTTCACTTGCGCCATGATAAGAACAAAGCAGTGTTTTGTTTTTGTGGTCTTGTCCTACCTCCGCAGAGAGGTGATGTGCCCGTCAGACAGGCCTCCGTCTCTCTCGTTAACAATGAACAGTTTGTCCTTCAACTCTCCCGGCTGCACTGGAAAACTTTTGAGGAAAATGTCTAGAAGAACAACAGATCAGAAAAAAAAAAGAAGTCAACACACGCCATGGTACATGAAAGCTTTTCCTCCTGACAGATCGTCTTCTCATCCAGCGATGAAATGACTCTAAAAAGCATTGTGAAGACAAAGGGTCCTCTGCTTAATTACTCTCCCCACAAATGCCTGAGGGAAATGCACAAATTTGCATTCTATCAAGTCAAAGCTTATGTGACTTTTTTGGGTTTTTTTATAGAAAATGTCGCTGCATAATTCAGGAGCTGAGAGAAAGAGTCATTAGGAGTTTTAGACACATATGTAAAAGGCAACATGAATTTTACAAAATATAGTCGCTCCAGCCCGTTAGACCCTCCGTCAGTGGACGTATTCTTCTTTTTCCTTCAGAAGCCTCAGCATCGCAACTTTCTGTTTTCAAATTTTTGTGGTTGCCGACTAAGTTGCATTCCTGAAGTGGAGACTTAATTGTTCTGAACCAAACAAAACACAATCCAAAGTCAGATTATTCACGTTTGAAATGTTTATTTGCAGCAGCAGAACTATGAGAGTTTGCCGTTGGGGCTCCGACTTCGTCGACCTTTGTAGCTTGAGTTTGTTATTTTCTGTACGAAAAGAATGTAAGAACGATTGTCACTGACCCGACCGAGCATTTTGCACAAAGCTGTGATCAAAGTTTCTCGAAATCTTGGACATTAACAACCTGAGACGTTAATTATTTCCCTTTTTTTTCACATTTTGAAACCAGAATGTCACTCGGACGCAGCAGTATCCTGAGATTCTGCAGTTTTTAAACCATAAAGATACAAAGAACCTGTTGATTTCATACTGAACCCACATTATCTCAGCTGCACATTGGTTGTAGTTGCTATGAGACCACATTTAAATCCAGATTTTCATTTGGTTCTGCACCAAATTGCACAAACATAAATCTATTTATTCATCTATTTTACTTATTCTTCATTTCACTACACTCTCAAGGGAAATATTTATGCTGCAGTAGATTTATTTACCTCACAATGTTAAAGAAAGTAATAAAAACACTCATTGTCCAGTTCTTTCCTGGCCCATGTCCCATCCTCCTACAAGGATTCATGAAAATCTGTTCAGTAGTTTTTACACAATCCTGCAGACAAATAACCAAACAGACAACACGACCTCGCAGGTGGAGGTAATGAGGAAAATCTCGAGGTCACATAACCGGAGAATGTCGAGAGTTAACAGAGTCCTGTGCTGTCGCATCTGGCCGACAGAAAACAAAAACACACGAGTGCAAATCGAAGCCCTTTGTTCACCGGCTCTCAGACAAACTGAGCAGTAAATTAGAGTATGGAGATGAAGAGTGAGTCCCACCGGCTGCACCGAGCCACAGGTGTACTTTTAATTAGTGCGACATTTCCACTCATTAAACAAGCAGCGTGCACGCGGGGCTCTCAGGGTAAATACCCACATTAGACGATCACGTATGCTAAACACAAAAGTGAAGTTAGAAAACCACGACAAATCTCATCCAGCGGAAATATTTACTCAAGTCCTGCAGAGTTTGAATTATTCTTCAGCTCCGTCACATTTCAGAGTGAGAAGATCGCTTTTATTTTTTTATCTGCTGCAATTAACATTAATATTAGACAACAGTGTATATATAATTAAGATGTTTTAGGATTCCACATTAAAAGAACATATTTATCAGTTGATGTTTCAGCTTGGTTTTGGCTCGGTCTTGGAATCTGGACTTTGAAAAGCCTATAAATAAAGATTGTACTTTTATTTTATGAGCTGTTTGCTGTTTCACCAAACAAGGTCAAATTAGACAATAATTCACAATAAACAAATATTTAGTTTAGTCTAAAACAGTAAAGTTTTAACCTTCTTTTCTACTTCATCATCTCACAGACTCTCCCGGCCCCTCAGACTTATTTTATCACCCTCTGCAGCAACCAAACTTTGGAACTATAAAACACATAATAAAGCAAAGACTGTAAATAAAGATGGACGACCTGTCAGCTCCCTGTAAGCGTGAGAGTGGCTGATGTAATAAAGGTCATATATGCCGCCTCCTCCATGTTAAAGGACCAAACAAAAACCATCAAAATACACGTTAAGTTATTTTTTATAAAAGATAGTTTCTGCCATTTTACGTGACTTCATCTCAAACTGATGTTCGGTTTTTATGCTAAGTTATATTATTATGATTGACAGCTGAGACTGACTTGTGATTGGTTGAACAGGTCCATTTTTATATATAGTCTATTAAATGAAGTTACTAAAACTCCTCCAGCTACAACAGTAAGTCTCTGCCACACTGATCCATCACTTTTAGGTCCTGGATCAGTCACATGGGTCATTTTACCTCTTAAACATTTATAAAATGTTGTACGCTTACATTTTTTTGTAGGATTTGAAATGCAGGAGGTCCTCTTCTCTTTTTATGAAGTACTTTTACACAATATCATTGGTACTTTCACTCAGTTAAAGGATGTTATTACTCCCTCCACCATTGACGAGAAGACATTTTTCCTTTTTTAACAGTGTTAAAACTGATATAACGTCGTGTTGTCATGCAGAGAAGAATCAGTCGCAGCCATCGGCGTGTTAGAGAACCCCATCACGACACAGACACCCACAAACAAATGTGTTTGTGTCTCTCTCACATCTGCTCTGTGGGCATTTCTCAACAGATTGCAATCAAAAACCACAAAATGAGTCAAAATCTTCTTCCTGCAGAGCACTTAGATTTCTAAAAATAAGCTCAAAGATCATTACAGCGTTGTCCTCTACATGCAGCTGATGATCCCCAGAGGAAAAAGCACAACAGTAACACAATCGTCTGTCTCAGTGTGGAGCAGTGTTTTTAGAGTCGGTGCGGAGGGGCTGCACGAGCTGCAGCGCTTCTATCCGACGCCAATTAACAGTAGTGAGTTTGTTTGTAAATTATTGATCATATACTTGTGATATTATCTGACGGAGGTGGAGTCTGACTGACTGCTGAGCAGCTGCTATCTTTGTAAACACAACGTGAGCCTTCGCGTACACACTGGCTCCCGGTGTAATGGGATCAGATGAAGAAGAAGAAGTGTGGCAGAGAATCAGATATGAGCTGAATAAACAGCAGGAATTTAGGGAGGTTTGAGGTGATAAACATGCAAACAAGAGCGCAGCGGTGGAGGGAGGGAGGGAGGGAGGGAGTTCCACTGTGTGTGTGATGGAAGCAAAGAGAGAGAGAGAGAGAGAGGAGGAGAGAAAGACAAACAGCTGACATGGATTAGCACCAGAATTTAATCGAATCTACTCTGACCCATAACACATCCTTCCACCAAGTTTTGTGGGAATCCGTCCCGTAGTTATTGTGTAATCTTGTTCACAATCAGACAAACGAACAGACGGGTGAAAACCTTGAATGTATAATATTCCGATGAAAGGTGCAACTCTTCTGGATTATAAACTCTAATACTGACATAGTTTCACTTGTGTCGTTTCCAAACTGGGACTTTTCCTTCAGTGTTTCATTTTTACATCTCTGAGAATTGCTTATTGCGTAAAACGCTCAAAATGTTTCCTCCCCCGCTGCTGAAATGTCACGTCGTTGTTTTCAGGACAGAAACTCAGAGTTTCTCCTCCTTCTCTCTTCAAATGTCATAATTTCTTTTCTAACATTTGCTGCAGGAGGCTGCTCGGCCCTGGGTCTGCCTGCGGGCTGCCGTCACTCAGCTGCTGCTCCCGACACAACCCAAGTTTCCAGGTCAGGGAGGAGCACAAACTCTGAATCCTAGTAGTCGCCAGGATCCCTGATCCATATTTTATAGATGCGTGAACTCTAATTATGTTGCCCGTCTGCACATTCCCTCTGATTCCATTGAGCAGCCCGCCACCGCCAGCGTATCGCTGCCGTGTCAGTGCCTCTTGAAGGACCTGTGAGGGGGGCGCTCCAGAAACACTCTCCCCCGGCTTTGGGTCTTGAGATATAAAAGCCACGCTCGGTTAATGAAAAGTGAAAAGTCATTAGATAAGAAATAGAACATGTTCCACTTCACAATAGCTCTGCGCTGCATGGGCGGACGTGACGCTGGGCCGGTGACACACTGCCCCCTGCAGACACATTGGAGGAACAGCCATCTCTCGGCTTTTCTTTAGAGGCTCAACCTTTATTTTAAAAGTTATATGAATTGTGAGGTTCAAATTCAGTTGGACTATTTTAGTCTCATTGATCAAATTAGAAATCCTGACAATGTTACTGCCTCTGCTGAGATCTTGGTTCCTCCTTCTATGTGTTGCCTCCCTCTGGTGGTCGTGAAAGCAAAGAGCATCTTTATTTGACTTAAAGGTGCAGTGTGTAGGATTTAGGTGAAAGGATCTATTGGCAGAAATTGAAAATAAAATAATCCTAGTGATGTTTTTACTCAATTTTATGAATTATTGTTTTCTTTAGAACGGACCGTGACATTTAAATACTTTATATTTACATCAGGAGCAGGTCCTCTCCACGGAGGCCGCCATGTTTTTTACAGTAGCCCAGACCGGACAGACTGAACACCTTGTGAGTTTCTATGACAACTGAAGAAGACCACAGGTAATTTTCCATGTTTGGAAGGGGAGGGTGAGGTGAGGGGTGTTCAGCTACAACATGCATCTTCACCACTAGATGTCACTAAATTCTACACACTGAACCTTTAAAGAACCACTTTTTGTAAAAAACAACATAGAAATTATGCTAAATATTCAGATGAGAAAGTTCCATCTCCGTCCTGAAACGCTGAAACTTATCTGCAAGCGATAATATTCATATTCAACTGCACCACCACACTTGTTGAGCCGTACTCACTGAAGTTGTGTGCGATCTTCTGGTTCAGCATGATGTCCTGGGTGTTACTGTGCTCGGCCGCCTCAAACGTTCCCAGATGTTTGACGGCAAATTGCTCGTATAAGCGCGATGTGTCGATTACAACCCTCGTGTTCTTTCCTTCTGTCCAAAAAGATTTTCCAACCTGTCGAGAAACAAATGGATGCGGCGCTGAGATCATTCCACTTTGTGAGGAAATCAATTTAAACATTACAAAAGGAACAACACGATAAGACAAAAGGATTATTCCCAACGCTGATGAGATATGGAACTGACCTTTCTGTGTTTGCTGAAATAACGAAACGCTGCGTGTACATGTGGATGATTCTCACTAATGAGAACGTGTGTAGATTAAATTGTGAAAACATGGTAAGTTAGAGTCAGTGTTACCTTGTCTGGGCCCACCAGGTCCCAGTGGAACGCCTTGGTGAGAGGTTTTCTTGAAAAGATTTTAGTTAAGAAGGGTAAAGGTGGAGGGGCCGGGATGCTCGGAGGTGAAGGCCCCTTCTCATCTGTCGAGCCTGATTCCTTTTTCGGAGACTCTGACCCTGTGGGGGAGGGTGTGAGGGGAGAGTGGGGGGGCTGAGGGGAGGCAGGTGAACGTAAGGGTGAGGTCAGTGACGGGACCTGAGGTAAAGGGTCCGGTCCAACGACTGGAGCAGCAGCTTTTCCTGTGACGCAGGATTCAGGATTAGCCTTCGAAGGACCAGCTGATTGATCTCCGCTGATGGACGTGGGATCTTTAGAATACTCAACTGGAGGATAAATCACAGGCTCCACATCTGTATATGTGTCCTCTGTGTCCTCTGTGTCCTCGGCGATGCTGATGTTTCGTAGAATCGATGTTTCCACAAACATGTGTTCGCCCTTGGACTTCCTCTTCCAGTCTGCACAGAGTTTGTCGATGGCACTGACCCAAGCATCTCGCTCGCTCTGGACTGCTCCTCGGGCGCCGGTGTGATCCGACACAGGCACTTTGAATCTGAAATAAATTTAAAAAACGTTAAACTCAACATCCCTGGTTCTATTTTACAATACAGGCCAGAGAAGACATTTTACTTTCCTGCAACTTTAATATTGTATGTATAAAACTGTTGACATTATTTCTATCTTTTATAGTTTCTTGTGTTTCTGTTGTAATTTTACTTATTTATAACCTTTGCTGAGGATATTTCACTTTTCCCTTTTTGCTAATTGGTAAATTTAAGTGGGAATAATAATTTTATTATATCTTAGCTGAGATACATCTGGTGATTAACACTTTACTCAGGCGTCGCACCTTGTTTGGCCGTTTCAGACAAATTGGGAATTGGGAGTATGGCCCTAACAAATACAACTCAATTGATTGATTAATTGATTGATTGACTCACTGGTATTCATTTTTGTGGGTGATCAGGGTGAAGGCGTCCAGGCTGGAAGGTTTCTGTACGCTGGTGTCACCGTCTGACAGGTGGATCACTGTGGACACGGGTACAGCGGGCGTCACCTCGCCGTCTGCGGGGCCTCGACACCTGAGGGGGACGAGTGTGAGCTGCCCCGGGTGAAGCTGGACCTCATATCTGCAACAAAGATTTGTTTCAACTTCCAGAACATGACACCGATCAAAGCGTGGCCTTACGTCCGTACTTCACCCATCTGAAAGACGCCAGGCCTCCTCTGTGCAGCAACAAGACGCCTTCCCGGAGGCTCAGCGCTGCCTGAGGCTGCTGATGAGCTTCTGCATTTCCCTCCTCGTTATCGCTGTATATGTTCCCATAGATGATCCGATTCACGAGCTGCATCATCTGTTCAAAAAGAGACAAAGAGGAATAACCAGCATGATCCGTGATTTAACGACACGGTAAAAAGCTTCCTTGATTTTCTATACATCTGGTTTGTTTTTATAGTTTAAATGAATCCACAGTCAATGCACCTTGTGTTTTTCCTCCAGCGATGTGGCCTCCAACTCGTAATCATGATGTCCCTTAAAGGAAAGGGAAAACCTGGAGCCGACGCCGTCGTCACAGCTCTTGACGACGGAGAAGGGAAGTTGTCGCTTGACGATACCTTTCTCTATGCTGCACAGCATCTTGGTGTTGAAATCAATCTGGATGGTCACAGTCACAGTATTTCAGTAGCACACTCCGTTACCAGTTTATTAGCTACACCTGGCCAAGAAATAGTGCAGTAGTACGATGGTATGGCAATAAATACTACCTTTATGAAAGTTTATGATGTGGTATTATCTCCGTATCATCGGGTGAGTGACTCACCTGAAGAACCCGCTTCTGCCACCTGTACCGTCCGTGCTTGTGAACACTGAAGTTGTACTGTGACGGTTTCTGTTTCTGCCGTAGGAAAATTTCCCAAAAAACAAACAAATGTCACTTGACGGGGAAACACCTTCGAATTTGTCCTTCGATTGTTTCCTGCTCAGCTGGACAAACCTCTTCAATAAAAAAAGTATAAAGAAACGAATTCAAAACTGATCCAGCTGCCTGAGCGGTAAATTTACACAACAGAAGAATGTTTGGTCATTTTCTAAAAGTCTGGTTTCCTCCAGCTTCATTTTATAATCACATAATTAACACAGCGATTAAGGAAGTGACAAAATGGGCCGAGGGCGATGATTGAAATCAGGAACACATGCAGCTGGTTCCCTCCAAAGTTAAATATGACATCTACCCACACCTCTGCAGCTAATTTACATGCTGCGCTCGGTTTAAATCACAAACAGTGGAATGGCCTGGGGCCCTGATATGAGAAGGGGCCCCTGATCATATCGATCCACAGCAGTCACAATTAAGTGAGAATATTTTAGGATCCCCACCGATTCAAAAATATTGAGGAAGCTCTGTTTAAAACGTTCTTACCTCTTCGCCCAGGTTCCGCTCTTTGAGCAGCTGCTCCTGGTCCCTCCTCGCCTGGTTCAGAGCGTCCTCGATGGACAACTCTCCGTTCTTCACCTTGTTCATGATGCTGAGCTGCCTCTCGTTGCTCAGCTGAAATCACAGCATCACAATTAATTTACATCAGATGAAGATGACGAGAGAGTCATCAGCAGAATCATAAATCAGGCTGAAACAAGAAGTGAGATTAAAAAGGTAGATTTTAAAATCCGGCTAAACGTTGGCGATGGAAGGACGACCTCAGAAAGTATCATCGCATTTAATAAACAGTTTTTTAATTCAGTTTTGTTTTTTGTGCACCAAATCATAAAAGGAGGGGGGGGAGGGGGGGTACAAATATTCTTAAAAATAAAAATATAATAGATGTGTAGATGTGGTTTGTTTAGAAATGTTATAAAGGGAAGTGCAGGGGCACAGGATGATTGCACAAGCAAGTAAGCAACTGAGCCAAATGTGCAAAAAGTTATTTTCTTATAGAAGAGTAGTATGAGTAGAGCGATATGACCCGTGTAGTATTTTTAGACCTGGAACTTATAGAGAAAAGCAACGATTCCCAAAATGAGCTTTTTAAAATGTCCAGTCTGTTCTTACAGACATGCATGTGGATGAAACTTGTTCTTTTTTCTCAGTTGAAGCCGGCATTTGTGTCTGTCCCTGCTTCAGAGGAACAGTAAAGAGGAACCACTGTTCTTCAAAGTATAATTATTGTCACTATCTTGCTGCTGGTAACAACAAGCAACAGGGAAGTTGAATTGAGGAAGTCAAAAAAAGTCAAAAAGCTTCAGAGACTGAACCATGACTGTGTCTGGTCTCGCTCGACAGCACTGACGTTACTGGAAGTGAGAAGAGGTTTTTCTCAGGAACTAAGAATCCAGTAAATCTTGTGTCATGTAGTCACTCATCTGGAGAACCGCTAATGGCAGGATTTAATATGATCAGAGGAGCCTGGACTTCATTGCTTGGGGTAAAGTGAAATCCTACCTTCGGCAAGTCGTCCATGTATCTGTCCACTCTGGATGCATTGTCCTTCTTCTTCAGTCCTAAATTTGGCATCATGTGTTTTTTTTAGATGCTACATTAAAATCCACGAAACTAATGAATCTGTACGATTGTTTTTGTCAGATGAGACTCACACAGAGCTCTGCCTCTCTGACGGGGAAGAAGAAAAGTTGCTGGGATTTTTGACTCTCTTTACTCCCCCCAGCTGCAGCTCCAGTTACATTCTTCATCCAGGTGAAGCCGCCACACCCACAGCAGCACAGCTCTCTGCAAACGTCACTTTACACGTCTCCACTTGCAGGCCTCATCTGTTCCTCATCTGTTCCTCATCTGCTCCTCATCTGCTCCTCTTCTGTTCCCCAGGCTCCTTTTCACCTCGAGGCCTATGAAGCCTGAAGCCCCTTCACAATATACCCACAATGCAACACAGTAATAAAGTTTCTATCAATGAGAAATTAAGAGCTTTTGCTTTTTTTAGCTGCACCTAAATCGCGGGTCTCAAACTCACGGCCCGCGGGCCAATTGCGGCCCACTGGACAATATTTCGTGGACCCTTACTTGACATCAAAGTTTAATGTTAGTGCGCCCAGCGCGTTTTTCTCAAACGCACCTTTTTGTCGAGTCGTTGCGCGGGCCTTGTGCTTGCCCTGAGAGCTTCCTGTGGCGTTTGTTGTCAAGTTAGCCAAAGCGAATTAGCAGCGTTAGTCACTTGATTGAAACGTGATTCCGTTCTGAAGAACCGTTCATCATAAAGATTGAGAAGATTGGATAAGTTGTATGTTTTGGAATACCTGAAACCCCTTTTTTTTTGTGGAGTACTTGTTGCGGCCCATCCTCACCCAGACTCTACCTCCAGCGGCCCCCAGGTAAATTGAGTTTGAGACCCCTGACCTAAATTCAATCGCAAAAAAAATCTGCATGAAGGGGAAAGAGGAACATCGTCACTTCCATAGTCACCATGATGGAAAACCACGTTGCAAGAGGTTTGTGGGAAATCCCTCAACGGTCTGGAGGAGTTTCAGTCTCTTCCTATCAAAAGATTCCCGGGGGGCTAACGTGTCAATGTGAAAATGTTGGTATAAAACATACAAACCACTTGTTGCATGTGTCACCTCAGAACGTAAACTGATGCAGCTGAATAAAAAGTATTTATATCCCGTTAACAAATAAATAACGTCAAAATGATGTAAGATACCTTTACTCAAGTACTCTCTCTGAATTAAATCTATTTAAAATTACATCCATGCTCCAACATTTAATAGCTGCTTAAACATTCCT